GACAGGGTGCGGGGAGAGGAAAATGAGCAACCCCAGGCATCAGTTTTTAAAGTGTATAATTGGATATTTTCTAATAGAAAGCTTGTATCATACATGCAAAGAAGTAAAGAAGTGTTGCTCAACTTCGATTTTTAAAGTGTTTTTTTAAAGGTACATTTGTTTTAAAAGAGAATCTGTTTTCCTTAATATAAGTTCACTTTCTTTAAAAAAGAAGAAGCACATCGACCAAATCCTTTGATGCGCCGTTCTTTTAATGTGGTTCTCTTCTGTTGAAAGACTGTATTGTTTGGGGCATGAGTAACATATGATGAAAAGTTTGTTGGCTGACATTCTGAAGTGGTTATTTTTCTGAGTTTTACACTGTGGAAAAGTTAGCTTATTATGAGGAAAACCAGTTTGTGGAAGCAACATTGTTTATAGCCTGTGATAAGAGATCAAAGCAGAGAAGGGCTATTCTTCTTATGGCAAAAGAACATTGTTGGTGCTAGAAGGTTATTTTGTGGTAGTTAAACAAAGGAGACATCTGAATAGCACGAACTATCTCAACATTTAGAGTGTGAATAAAATGTAACCTCTGTTGCTTAAGAACCCATGCAAGTGATTACTCAGAGTGAAAATTAGTAGCTGGTAACTTTTCGGTTTAATGTAAAGTTGCAATAAAAGCTGTGGTGTTTCCTTCAACTTCCCAACTTTGTCTTGCAAACATTGGTGTCTAATTCACAAGGGAGTGTTATGGTAGTGTCACCAGTGTTAGAAACTGAGATATGAAAGCTAGGAGCTAAATGGCACCTTAAACCTAGGTTATGGGCGCAACAACGGAATGTCTAGGCACACTTTTTTATAACAAGAATGCAAAGCTGAAAATGAATGAACTGCAGCTAAAATATTATATTCATTTTTCACATGGTCTAGTCCTTCCCCTGCCCACCCACCTAGTATTCTTAAGAGGGTCTCTTCTCCAGTCTTCAGAGAGTAGCTGGAAGTGGGGAGGCAGAAAAGGGTCCTCCTTTCCTTCCACTCTGCAGTTTTAATTGGAAATCTTAGGTGCAGAGTTCAGAAACTGCTCACATCGATGAAATTCCCTGTTGCAAAATGCGCCTTGAACAATGGGAGTTTCGAACACTGAGTGTTGCATGCTTCTAAGGCTTGTACGTTCAAAGAACACTCATTCCAAAATGGTAGTGAAAGTGTCCATGCCATGTTTTGGGAAGTCATCACAAATGAATGACTACCTTAAAGAATTTGAGCAATCAATCTTCTTTATGGTAATACATCCGTCAGATACCTACAGTAACTTAGAGCATTTTAGACACTTAATAAAAATGCAAAGTGGATGTTCTTGGGTTTCCCAACAGGTCTTTTGAGGATACATTGCTTTTTGAATTCCTACTGACTTACTTTAATGAGTAGATGGAAACACAGAAGGCTTTATTGTAACCTTAGGTCTTCTCTTCAAAATTTTTGGATTGCTTCATTGTGTTTGGATGCATCGTGGGGGGGGGAGTGTGTTAGCCAAGATGCTTACAGAACTGGAGATGTTCCCAAACTGATGAGAAATTGGAGCTCACTACTGAGCTATTGGCACTCCATAAAAGACCTTGTAGGTCAGGGATGGGGAACCTGTGGCTCTTCATATGTTGGATTACAATGCTCATCATGCCTGACCCTTGTCCATGCTGGCTGGGGCTGATGGAAGTTGGAGTCTGACAAAAGCTACAGGTTCATTATCCCTGCTGCAGGTATTCAAGTGTTTTACTTAAGAAATTAGTCCACATCATGCAGTTTTATTTATTTATTTACAAAATAATGTGTACCTCAACTTTCGGTCCTTTAACAAAAATGTATATAAACAGAACAAGCATAAAGAGAGAACCTTGAAACAGAACCATAAAAACATTATCAAACAGGAGAGAGAACTCTTATTTAAATGTCTGGCAGAACAAAAAAGTTTTTGCTGCTAATCTAATGGCCATAAGAGGGGGAAGCCTCTCTACAGAGTTAGGCCCTGTATTGCACTCTTTCCGTCTGTACCTCCAGGATGCATGGTGCGGCTTCTGATGAGGAATTCAGGCAAGTTAAGGCATGGAAAGTTGAACTTTTGAGCATCCTGTTTCCAAACTATTCTGCTCTCCTCCCTCTTGGTTCAGTGCACTTGCAAATGGAGTACTGATTCCTTTTTTTAAAAAAATATTTTTTATTAATTTACAACAAAAACACACAATAATTTCACATCCAATTTTTCACAAAGTATTTCTTTTCTGGACTTCCTTCAGCTTTTCCGTAAATCGTTCATAGTCATTATTTAAGTTACGCATTTCTTAGGTTTGTATTGTCATTAACAAATGGAGTACTGATTCCTATGAAACTGATGCAAAGTCTTGTGTATGGCAGCTCACTGGCCACAACAAGGCATATCATATAAGGCTGCTACACCCCCCTCCCTTTGTCAGGGCCAGCTGGTTCAGCTGCTCCTCACTCACAGTGTGTGCCAGCTGCAGAGATAAACCACACAGGCTGGAATAAACTGGCAGGGTGGCACTGCTGGAGGAGAAGCTCGACCAGACAGAGGAGAATGGCAGGGCGGGCATCAACTTTAGAAGGGGTTCCAAACAAGGAGGGAATAAGGACAGGGAAGGAGTAGCAGAAACCGAAAAGAGTAAAGAGTTGGGCTGTGGGCAAGCCTTGCCACAATGACTAAGGATATACAGTGTGCGTGGCAGGACAAAAAAGACGGAGTTTCTGAGTCAAGGAAAGGGTTAACTTGCACACCTGATGAAAGAGGGCTTAATGGGGAATCCAGACAAATGCACAAGTCTCTGAAGGGCTCTGAGGATGAGAAAGACTCTGAACTCGGTTGAGTAAAGTGCTCACCCAGGCAGTTTCTGAAGGAAAGAGAATCCCTGGGGTCTGAAGACTCGTGGGATACATGGTGGGGGTTCCTGCACACCTCTTTTAGATCAGAAAAGCCACCTTTGAAATTGCACTGAAAAGCTGCAATTCCTTATATGGCAGGTGGTAAAATCAGGTGCAAAACCAGCTGGCCACAATCTGGACTATACAAGATTTTACGTGAATACAGTCATGGTAATGGGCCATTCTTAACTGGCTGATGTTCCAAAGGGAGATTCAGTAAAACCTGGGTGCATTTCGTGAAAAAAATGAAAGCTTTCTCTCTCTCTCTCTCTCTCTCTCTCTCTCTCTCTGGTAGCTGCAGCACATTTTGAACATTCAGTAATCAAAATGACAAACCTGTAAAATTGACGCAGTAGAATTATCCCCATATTGCAGGAGTGTTGAGGCCGAGAGTTGCCCAATGGGTTGGTTCAAATCCACCAAACAATTATGGTTTGCAATCCTGGTTTGTACAAAGTAGTTTCCTGGTTTGGACGTTTGGACAAGCAGAGGGTAATGATCTGAATTAATGCTAGTATGGGAAAAAAGGACACACACACACACACACACAGAGAGAGAGAGAGAGAGAGAGAGAGAGAGAGAGCGTCTTAAACTTCAGAAACATTTATTTGGTATGAGTCTTCCCCCATTATGCTTTACTGTTTGGGGGGGGTAAGGTATGGAAAGCAAATTAAATTGTTGGTGGCAATGTAATTTGCCTTCCTGCTAAAACACCCACACACAGAGAAAACGAACAAATTAACAAACCCTCTCTGCCCTCCAGCACAAAGGAAGGGAGCTCATGAACATTTTTCATGTACTGCTTCCTGCCTGCAGACACCAAACTCAACATCAAAGAGAAAAAGAATGGAATATCTCTACCTCCCTGTTTTGTCCAAGAGGCAGTTCTAAATTTAGTATGAAAATTTCAAAATTACTTAAATTGTGGTTAGGATTTTTTATTATTTCTTTAAAAAGCACTTTTCATGCTTATAGTACATTAATTGAAATGAAAGTTTTATTATTAAAGCATATGCAGTGCCCTGATTCCCTTGCTATGGCCTGATAATAATCAACATAGTAATACAGAGCTGGGCCTTTTCACCAGTGGCACCAGTGTCATGGAATGCCCTCCCAGCTGGAATCATAGAAATACAAGAGGCTCCATCTGTGACAGTCCTAGCTAAGCACACTTCCTATGATGAACAGGGGTAGGGAACCTCTGTCCTGCAGGCCAAATGGACCTCCCTCCCAGTCACTCGGTCTATTCCTCAGGATGCTCCCAGCGCCACGCCCCTCGTCAGCCTAGCTCTGCAGTCTCAAGTACTTTTGCCTGGTTGGAAAGCTTCCTTGAACTATGATGCTTCTTGCTCAAGTGGATTGCAAGATGGGAAGGGAGCATAGAAACCTCTGGCTTTTGCACAGCTCGAATGGAGCCCATGCTACAATGCTAAGAGCTATATTTGTTGCTTCACTTGCCTGTATCACTGACCCTTCCCAGCCCTGGCATGCAGCCCCTGGCATGTTCCCTACAAGGGAATGCAGCCTTTGTGCTGGAAGAAGTCCAGTTTATGCACCAGTTTATTATGCCCCCCCATTATCAGTACAGATGAAGGGTGGGCTGTAATTTCCCCCCGTAATAAACAGTCACATGGTCAAACCACTGCTGAGGCACACCCACAATTGTGAGGTCTAAAGAGAAGAAGAAGATGCCTCCCCAGCTGTGAACTTAGCTTGAGAGCAAATTGGGAGCCCAGGCAGTTCCTTTATCACAGGTGTTAGGTGTGCAATGAGGTGCCCTACTTGGTAATCTAGCTGTTGTGTTTTGCACCAGCTACAACATCTGAATCACCCTAAAGAGCAGCCCCACATAGGGGGAGGGGGGGCTGCAGTAATCCAAATTTCTAAGGTTACCAATACATGACGGTTGTGGCTAAGCAAAAAATGTCCGCTCCTCCGGTGACAATGGTGGATTAAGGAGCACTCCCCAAACTGTGTACCTCTTCCTCCCACCCAGAGCAGGTAGAATCATAGAATTCTAGAGTTGAAAGGGATCCTGAGGGTCATCTAAGTCCAGCCACCTGCAATGCAGGAATTTTGCCTACATCCATCTTTGGGTAGGCTTGAACCACCAGCCTTCTGGTTAACAGCCAGATGCACTGGCCCATTGCGCCACAGGAGAGATAAACCCAAGTCTTGGACCCAAGAACCACCCACTCACAGTACCTTCATCTTCTTAGGATTCAGCTTATTGTCCCTCATCCAGCCCACAGCTGCATCCAGGCATCTGTCCAGGTCCTACTTGTTTTGGATGTAACAGAGAAACAGAGCTGGGTAGCATCAGCATACTGAAGACTCCATGCTCCTTCATCTTCTCCATTGGGAAAGGAATAGGATCTGTGTGCTTACTTTGAACTTTATTGTGGGACTTGGATCTGTGTGCCTGAATCCGTGCATGCCTATTCCAAAGTAAGAGTTGAGAAGATTTACTGCGGTTCCCCCCACTTTTTAATACTGTTTTAAATAATTTAAACATAACTAGAGGCATTCATGCTGTCAGAGCAAAGCTCCTGCCCTTTCTTTTTTCTTTTTGTACTTTCTCTTTTGCCTTCTTCAAGTTAGGACCATTTAGAATTTCATTTCTAAAATGTACACTTCCTAAGACATGGTTCTTAATATTTGCACGCATGCACATGAGTTTCTTTTGCTGAAGGCACTTGCATATGTGTCTTATTTCATTTCCGACACGTAGGTTTGGCTGGCTGACTTCTGGGTATTAAACTTCCAGAAGTCAATATTGTCTTCCTTTGCTGTTATTGTTTTTTCTTTGAAAGTGATGTTTTATCCAGCCATGACTAATAACTGTAATCTGACTTGGTAGGGTGTGCAGTAAATAGGCTGGTTGGTGCCACTGTGTTGTGTACAGCACAGCGCAAGAGGCAAAAGCCTGTAAACCAAACAGCTGGATCAAATCTATTACTGTAAAATCCGCATGTCAACTTGAGGTCAACTCCAGATTAACATCTGGACCTAGCCTAGCTAGACAAGGACTAGTGTTAATATAATGTATACCATATGCTTTGTGCTTTGCATGCCATAAAAATTATTTAGTTTCGATGGGGGATATTGCTCTCTAGGAGAGCTGCCTGGTTAAGACAAGAACGTTTTTCTGGGAGTTGATGGATGAGGGCACAGAAAAAAGAAGGTAACTTGTCCTAATCCCACAGATCTGAAGATCACTGTTAATCTTCTCATAAACTGGTTGTGTATGTCACCCCAGGAAATTATCTCTCTCTCTTTCTCTCCCGCTACTTTCAGACATGTAAATAATATCTGATTTTTTGAGGATAATATTGGGTACAGGGAGACTAGATATACTACCACAAGCTCCTTTGAAGAAGGGCAGCATACAAATGCAACTAAATAAACAAAAAAGCAAAATTGTGGGATGGAAACATGATACTGAAAGCCTTAGTTGGACTGAAACTTGCATATGATGAGGGGCTTTGGCACACGGTCATCTCATGGTGGGCAGAGGGAGTGAAAATGAGTGTGTGCTACATTTTCTCAATCAAATGAGATGCTGGCACACAGTAGACCTAGATCAAGCACATTTTGGCAAGGCCCAATGTTACAGCAGACACTGCCCAGAGACTTTGCCTGCTTACACAACCATACATTTAAAGCACATTGCTTTTCCTAAATAATCCTGGGAACTCTACTTTAACCCCCACAGAGCTACAGTTTCCAGCACCCTTAACAAACTATAATTCCCATGATTCTTTGGAGGAAGCAATGTGCTTTAAATGTATGGTGTGTACACAGCATTCATCTTCACCCCTAAAGCTCAGGCATATAAGTTAACCTTTCAGATAATGCCATTTTGCTTTATGTTTTTGCCCATTTCACTCCCTCTTTACAATTGGAATGCTTCTTGTTTATATTACCTTCCCTTTCTCTTTGAATGGAATATTTTATTTTTAAAATGCCAGTAATGTAGGTCCAGATTTTTCTTTGACATTAGAATAATTATTTCTTTAAGAGTAAGCATGATGCTCATAAGAATGAATGAAGGAAAACCACAAAAGCAAAAGCAACATTATGCACTTGGAGCAGGCTGTTCTATTCTAAGGGGGTGTGTGTGTGTGTGTGTGTGTGTTGTGTTTCTTTTTTTACAGGTTTTATTAAATGATAGGCATGTTGACAAGTGGCTGAGGGGCTAACATGGATTATGTCACAGAAATGACAAATTTCAAAAGTCAAAGCAACTTGCAAGGGCCCAATATTCTCCTTTAGAGCTAAACACTCAGTATGCCTTTAGGTAAATAAGAATAATGATGTCTGCAGGCAATTTGTTAAAAAAAGAAGTAGAGCAGGTATTTGCATGAAGGTAGTTAAATCTGGTCAATTAAATATAGGAAAAAAGAAGTACATTTTTTTTCTATTCTTGTGTGTATAGAAATGTGTATGTAATAATTGCCTACCTATTGCAATAGGAAAGCAGAGCCATACTCGCAGAAATTCTTATGCTATTGAACTGCATGGGAGAAGCCATGCAAAGATGCAAAAGGCAGCTTGATACTGGCATGGACACAGTGCTTTCTTGCTACACTAATGGCAGCAATGGGACTTATGGCCCCTCATCTGGGAGTAAACCCCATTGATCTCAGTGGGACTTATACGTCTGCCATGTATCGGATTGCCTTGTGAGTGTATGTGTATGTATGTAACTTTCAAAAGTCCATTGCAAGGTGACACAGGAACCTGCTAATCAAAGGGCAGGAGTAAATATTCCCACTGGCAGGTCTAATTCTTTGGATTAGCCAAAAGGGAGTCATTTTGGAGGCGCAGATCAATTCTGTGTCCAGGGCAGCTCCATCTGGTATGCAGGCTGAGACCTTACCTGCCCGCAGACTGTCTCGCCAGAGTGGTGCATGCTCTGGTTATCTCCCGCTTGGACTACTGCAACGCGCTCTATGTGAGGCTACCTTTGAAGGTGACCCAGAAACTACAACTAATCCAGAATGCAGCAGCTAGACTGGTGACTGGGAGCGGCCGCTGAGACCACATAACAGCGGTCTTGAAAGACCTACATTGGCTCCCAGTACTTTTCCGAGCACAATTCAAAGTGTTGGTGCTGACCTTTAAAGCCCTAAATGGCCTAAGCCCAGTATACCTGAAGGAGAGTCTCCATCCCTCACTGCAAGAAGTGCGGTTACAGGGGACACGGCAGAGGGCCTTCTCAGTAGTGGCGCACACCCTGTGGAATGCCCTCCCATCAGATGTCAAAGAAATAAACAAATATCTGACATTTAGAAGACATCTGAAAGCAGCCATGTTTAGGGAAGCTTTTAATGACGGATGTTTTAATGTATTTTTAGTCTTTTGTTGGAAGCCGCTCCCAGTGGCTGGGGAAACCCAGCCAGATGGGCGGGGTATAAATAATAATTTATTATTTATTATTATTACTTTAAATAAGGTGTAGCCATCTTGGTCTCCCCCCAGATGTTTTGGAGTTCAACTCCCACGAGCCCCAATCAGTATGGCCAATGATTAGTTGTAGCATACAATTGAAGTTTGCAACATTGGCCACCCCTGGCTTTCAATTGCTGCTGTTAATTGCATACATCATGTAACCCGGAGTGTTCTCACAAACAGTGCAGAGTAGAATCTTACGTATAATTTAAATGGAAACATAAGCAAGCTGCAATCAGATTCAATGAAAATATTGTGTTTAATACTTTATTTTCATTGAATCTGATTGCAACTTGCTTATGTTTCCATTTAGATTATATATATGCTTTTAAAGCTCTGTGTAAATTATGGCGATCTGCAGAATCAGAGTTATACATATTAATAAAGCTAAATAAGCGGATTAATGCATTAATGCAAGTCTATTTTTGACTTTTAACAAACTTTTATTTTTGTTGCCCCTTTTGAATGTTCCAAGTGTGAATAGCCAGTGTGGAACACAACTCTTACTATTGGCCATGCTAGCTAGGGCTTATGGGAGCTGGATGACACTGTGTGGATATGACCCCTGCCGTAAAGCATAATTTAAAATACATTAATTTTTCAGATATGATTTTTTGAATGTTCATCATCTGCAGTGGTATAGTTCACCTCTCATAATGCATTGCAGAAAGTGGGTGGTTTATAGTTTATTTAAATCATACTTTCCTTTTTGTTTATCGAGGTGTTTTCAATTAAGGTTCTGCAGCATGAAATATACTTGGATTTTAAACCACATCTTCTCAAGAAATTGAGAAGTTAAGTCTAGAGATAAGGCGATTAAATTCTTGGTTTGCTGTGATTAGACGCAAAAAAAAAAAATTCTTTTGATGAGTTGGAAGGGAAATATGCACAGATGTGATATTGCTCTGAATTGCAGAGTTCTAACAAGTTTTATTTCTTTTTATTCATACGTGTAATCTATATGCTCAGCTTATTAGGTTTGGGGAACGGACCTCCAGCCCACAAGCTGAATGTGGTTCTCCAGACCTTATTATTATTATCATCATCATCATTATCATCATTATCTATTAAATTTCTATACCACTCTTCATCCGAAGATCACAGGGCTGTTTACAATATAAAAACACAGAAATGCACACCATAATAACAAACCAAAACAATACCCCTCCCCCCAATTTAAAAGGTCATAGATAGGCTAATTAGCCAAAGACTTATCTGGCCCTTGGGACATTCTAGTTCAAAGCCCTCACTGGCCCTTCTCCATATCCTGTTGCTTGGCTGGAATTTGTCCTTGAACTTTTGCTTTCCTGGATAGAAAATGGAGGGGGTAGAAGTCTCTGGGCTGGACTGGGCTGGAGTGTAGCCTACTCTTCTTAGATAAGAGTCTTACCCACTGCTCTGCTCCCGTTGGCTTCACATCCAACCCATCGTTGGCTCCTGGAAGGCTGCCCATGTAAGAATGGGCTCCACGGACAGTTCTTCAACCCCTGTGTTAGGTAGGAGGTGATGCATTTTTGTGCCTCATTTTCCAGGTAATAAAGCTGTAGCATGATCTGTTTAGTGCTTTTCTGTATCACATGAAAGTGGAAGCAACCTTGGGGATTTTATTGAGGAGAAGGGTTTCAGTCTCTGAAATTTCAAGGGGATAACTCCCACTGATTTTGACAGGACTTGAAACATACGAAGCTGCGTTATATGAAGTCAAGCTGT